AATTTGTTGTATCCTTTAAATGTTATGAAAGAATACATGTGATATTGTAACTTTTAATATAAATGTTTAGAAACCGTACGAATTGTATTCAATTATTTTACACGAACAAGCATGATTAGGCTAAAATAAACGTTTAACAAAAAGAGCGATAATAGTACGTGAACAACAAATTAAGAGACAATAGTAGGCCCTTTTAATCCCAACTTGACAATTGACAACGATATAAAATGATGAAATCTACACGTTTGATGGTGGTAATATATAGTAATGAAAACCAATAACGACGACGGACGAATACCGTAAACCATTAAGTTAATGTATACAGTTGGATTATACAATAATTATAATTTATAACCGTTGGTGTTTTTTCGTTGTCCTAACGATCCGACAAATGTGTGTACTTAACGAAACATAAATGTTACACAGCCATAGGAGGCAGTTCTTAGTGTAATCAGCATCGGAATTTGGTACACCAAGTGTGACTCGTCATACACACGTGCCGTCAGTACAAGTCCGTAACAATACAGTGAAACCTCGATAACTCGAATAGTAGCAAAAACTCGAATAGTATCGGAAATTCAACTTGCAGAAAGCTTCGATTACTCGAATCGGCCAGGAGCGAAAAAATAATTGCGTTACTAAAAATATTTTATTGTACAACACAAATATTTAATTTTATAAATTAATTTACTTATACCATGTGTAACATATGCATGTATGTATTATAATTTTTAAAAAAGTATTTTATAGTGAAATGTGTAAGAAGGACGTATATGTAAAGATTTTAATTATGTTGACCGCGGAAAAAATCTCTTCTAGAATTTCTGGTTTTATATATTTAATATATTTAGGTGCTGTCTGTAAATCATCTAATGCCTGGACATGGGTAATGAAAATCAAAGGTAATTCCACATCATCAATTTCCGATAGTTCTGCTCCCCGTTTCTCGTTAGGCATTTTGTTTATTTTTTATGAACATACAGTATATATACGTACACTTATGTCAGAGACTAAAATTGTGTTGCAGTACGACACACTTTGTGTAGTACGAAATTAAAAAGTGTGTTGTGATTCTATTCTCTATATTATGGTATTTGTTTTTAATTTTACATTTTTTTTTATTAAATTATCTTATATATTTTTAAAATTCCAAGATGTATCATCAGCAAAATCTAAAACACCAACTATTTTAACTGTGTTACTCATTAGTTTGAAAGGGAAGTATGACAAAATCCTCAAGCGTGCAGTACGAAAAACGATATATTTTAGCCTCCGGCTTATATTGTTTCAGTAATTTTCGGTAATGTATGTCGAACAATTCGAATTAAAAGCTAAAACGCAACTCAAATAACTTCGACTTATCGAAAAAAAAAAAGTATCACACATATCATATTGAAATACAGGGACCAAAAGCATTCCATCGAGCATTTCCATACTGCGTATGTATAAACAATAAAATTATTATAAATTATTGTTCCGCGATTTGTATGTTTTTCAACAACCGCCGAAAAAAGGTTCGCGCACGTACACTGCTGTGTCCGCCACAGTACGAGGAAGGAAAAACACCAAAACTGTAGTTAGCAGTCGTCTGGTGGGGTATAACTGTATAACATTTAAATCGCACACGGTACCGCGGCGCGGCTACGGCACTATTGCAGTTCGCGCAGTTAAATTATAATTACTTCATACGCCGCATAAGTGTTGTCACGGTTCGTCCAAGTGTTTTCACAACTGTGTTTACTAATTATGAACGCGAACAACTATATATTACAACGAAAAATAGACTATTACTTGTAGAGCTCTGTACATTTACCTACAATTACTACGATTACCCATTGCAATACGTGCACGGCACTGCTCTCTATTAATTCGCCAACACATACGGCGTCCTCCCCGCGTATGATGATACCCGACAGGTATGTAAGAAAAAAATAAGATAAAATAATGGGGCGCTCGCGGCGCGCGTCCGAGTAAACAACGATGATAAAAAAAGGCGGCAAAATAGTTTTTGAAAAACGGTAACAATATACACAGGTATTTGAATGTATTTTTCAATTATGCTTTACGGTCTGCGAACGGGACCAAAGAAAAATGTGTTTCGAGTTCCGAGTTCTCAATGAACATCGAGTTTTCGTTATCGTGTATCGTGACGATTCCTGCAGGGTTTTTTATATGATAACTATCACGAATCAATCGCGGGAACAGTCGGACGGAGGGACTATAGAGGGTTGTACTATAATCGTACATATTTATCTAGTTGCGTCCGTCGTATATGACGTATACGCTCCCACTTCGTGGCGGTGTGAATAATAACCGGGTTGATTGAGTCATAGCAACACAGTATCGTAACACTACATTACCGTTGCACACGGACGTGTACTGTGTAGTTGGCGTTATTGCAGGGTATCGCGGACAAACGATTTCTCGGCAGACGACGGTTAGCCTTTTTCAAATGGTGGACGATTTTGTATAGATTCGCACAGTAACATAAAAATGGATGGCAACAAAAAAATTAAAAAATCACAAGTTACATCGTTGTAACGGTTAATTAACCATTTTCAATATTTTAAACGATTTATAAGTACATATAAATAAACGTAAAGCAATTCGAGGTGTATTAAATGTTTAACCATGTTCAAAGTCTATAGAAATAATACAAGTACGTTAATTGGACATTGTAAATTACATGATGATTACGGTACGGTACTCAATAATATAACGCGTGTGTTCTCGCAAGGCTTTATCTATTAAAAAATAGTATAGCAATAGATGTTGAAATCTATATTATTTTATATAGCACACGAATATGAAGGGAAAAACTACAAGAGTGCAATAAAAACGAGTCTGGAGGCGCTAAAATTTGTAATGCCATACAGCATACAACAGGAGTAAGCGCACAATAATCGTGCGGAGTCTTAAGGACGGTTGTGTCCAGATAAGACACTCAGACGGCAATGATAATGACCTACGTGATTGGAAGGTATTTCGACGATGTTACAAGAAAAAAAAATACCGCGCGACATTAAATGCGTAGAACTTGCAATCATTGCAACAGAATGGCGTAGAAGTGCCGCAACACTAATAGAATGTTAAATAAATCGATTGATATGAATTCCGTATTATTATTGTGTGATATTTAATAGAACTAGACGGACGAGTACAAACATCAACCGTGTCCAAGTCGAAAATATAAACATTGATTATATTATATTACTGTAATAAAATGGTTATATTGGACGTTCGATTTATATATAAACATACAAAGACGTTTTTCAGAGATATTCTAGTTGACCTCCTAAATACTAGTTAAACTCCATGAAGAAACTTACTTAATAACAATTTAATGTGGGAGAGGACACGGTTTTTATGGTTAATTGAAACATACGCATAAATCTATGGCTTTAATAAATAAAAATAAAAATGGGATTAGTTAAAGTATGTAACATATCATGTAACCATTATTTATAGTGATCTACCAATAATTTTAATCGCATTATTAATATTTGCTAATGGTAAATGTCGAGTCGACAGTAGTACAACAAGATCAAGAGTAATTTAAGGTTTATTAGAAGATATACAACTAATTATTGTAAACAAACGCATTATTCGTCTGAAACTGACAGCAATGTAATATATAACATATATACTCAATACACGAGGTAGTATTATTAAGAAAAACCCAAAAGCTCTGTGCCGTGTACAAAATACTAGTTGTGTACGGTTTACCACCTACAGAACTATAAATATAAATTATATAATTGATGAGAGGTAATTTTAAAACGTTAACAAAACCGATTACTAAACAACAAAAATAAAAGATTTAAATTATGTTTATTTTTGAGAAATATATAAATAATATTTTAAGATTCGTTTTGTTACGTTTCTTTAATGCGTATGTTGTAATTTAATAAGGGCCACGGACAATGATGTTTACGTGAACTACTATTTATTAAAAACCTGTGTGTCAAGTATGTTTATTATAAATACAACTTTACAGTGTAACGTAGTTATTATTTAGTTAGTGAATTTACTGTAAGAGAGAGCGGTAATTAAGTGTATTTTTCAAAAGTATTATTAGGTGGAATTCGGGTGAATTTTGTATGTCACTCTGACGTTTCCGTGAAATTTAACTGAAGACAGATAATTTCCGAAATATGTATTCATTTTTAAGAAACTTATACTGGTATGTATGATTTACACGCACTGTTTTAACAACGCGCTTATTAAGTTCATACTCGTACGGTTATACTTAATAACTATCAAATTTAGTAACCGTCGACAAACCGTATTGATTTATTATTTTGATATCAACGTTTAATATACATTAGTGTGCTAAACGTATAATAGAATCACCTATTATGTTTTATCAACGAAAATAAATAGATCATGTACACTTGACCCGTGTCCTAAAAAAAAAAATAAATAAATAATAAACGTTGCATGCAAATCGACGGCGATGCGCATTAAGTGAATTTATCGTCGCGCGTACATTGTCATATTGTTATCCCCATTACTCATCAGTCATTAGTGATTATCATATTGTCGTCGGAGTACGAGCCAGCGGACGTCCGGCGGGTGTGACGTGTACAACAACCGGTCGAACGATCGCAAAAGTTGGTATTGAATTTGTCGATTATTTTCGCGTTCCGACGACAGGCAGTTTTAAGCACAAAACGAGAACCACACGAGGCGCGTAAGAAGACGCCGAATTTTGAAAAAACATTTGTTCCGACGGACACAGGTGTACGATCGTACGAACAACAACTGCGCTCACCGACAAAAGGCTCGATAGATAGGTTGGTTAATCATTCCGTATTCGAATGCGATCGTCGTACGACGGTTGCGGCGGTACGCGCAGCGCGAAAACAACGCCGCGCGTTGGTACTACGGATTTTAAGGTACGGATGGTTAATACGCGCGCATGCGTTTTACCGACATGAGTTACAATATTATGTGTAATTTAATATAAGAATATTGCGTGTAACGCGGGGTGTACGTACCTCGGTACCGTCGACCTTGGAGCCGGGAGCGTCGGAAGCGCCCACCCTGTACCGGCGGCGGTGCATCCCCACGCCGGTGGACACACCGCCTACCGGCGGCACGTGGTGGTTCGTCTCGTGCACGGTGAGGCTTTGCTTGATGTCGGCGGAGAACGAACAGTGCGAACACTTGTACGTGCCCGGGGCGCTGGTGCTGTGGTTGCGGTTGTGCCTGTCCAGGTTCCACTTGTACGGCGTACTGAAGTCGCAGTCCGCGCACTTGATGATCGGCATCGTGTGGTATTTCACGTGCTTGGTGTACCGGGCTCGCATGTGCGTCACATAGTTGCACTTCATGCACCGGAAGAACTTTTTCTTCAGGTGGGCCGTCTTCTCGTGCCGGTTCACCAACGTTTGGCTGTGGCTGCCGAACGGGCACACGGAGCATCGGATAAAATTCGCAGATTGCTTTTCCAGTTTGTACTGTTTCTTGGACGACAGTGGCTTTGCCGGCGGAGGCGTCGCGTCCGCTGTCCGCGGCGACTCGGCCGCGGTCGAGAACTCGTCCTGATCCGGCGAACCCTCCTCGCTGCAGTCTTCCGTTTCCTCGTCGTCAACTTCTTCTTCCTCTTCTCCGGCCTCTTCCTCTTCTCCGATATCCTCGTCTAAATTCTGCTCCTCTTCTTCCTCGATCCCCTCCTCGTCCTCGTCCGCCTCGTCTTCCTCAATGTCTTCTTCGATATCTTCGGTATCGTTCGCGGGGTCTCTCACGTCCACGTTTTCCACGATCACCAGCTCTCCGAGCTGCTGTTCCGTGTGTTTCTCCGAACTACGCTGCACTCGGATCCGGACCGGTGGCACCAGCAGAGGTTTGCTGTTCCCGTTCTTCTTGTTCCCGTGACCTTTGCTGGTGCCCTTGGAGCTGGACCGGTGGACCATCTGCACGTGCCGTTGCAGCTTTTGGCTGTGCTTCGAAGCGTACAGGCAGTGCGAGCACTCGTACACCTTAAGCCGTTCGGCGTGCACATTCTTCTGGTGATGCAGGAAGCTACGCGGATTTTGGGTGTAATACGCACACTTGGCACACGCGTAGTTCCGCTTCACCTTGCATTGGGGCAGGGCCATCGTCGCGGTGGTGGTCGTCGACGAAGAAGGCGCGGACGAGGACGTCTGCTGGAGCGAATATTTCATTCTGCTCATGTTGGCAGATTTCTGCTGGTGGTCCCTCGACGAGCCCGCCGACGCAGCCGACGAGGCCGTCTTGACCATATTTGTGTATCTAAAAGAAAAAAAAGAAAATTAATTATCCTCACGGACATTCAATACACTCCCCCCGCCCGCTATCATAAGACCGATACGCTATGAAACGCATACGCGGGGACGAACGATAAGCCAAAGCGTGCGTACACGTGTGGCGCACATCTGGTCGCACCGGATATCAAGACACGACGGGGGGTCCCGCGCAACCGAACCCTTAACACGATGGAGCGGTGGTTTCTTGCAGCGCGCGGTCGATCAGCGCACTAGGGCACGCGAAACAGCGGCGACGGTAGCAAAACGAAATCGTACAAGTTCCGTACGCGCTGATGTAGGCATTGTAATTACGTTACGAACGTCGCCGCGGCCGAGATGACGGGCCGCTGTGGTGGTAACGCACGCGCGCGCGCGAAAGTCTCCCGATGACGTCGATATCGATGTCAAGGCGCGGTTGACGCGGAGAACCTTGAAGAGCGTGAATACTGCGCACCGGCAGCAGAGGCTCGGTTGGTGCACGTAATATCATGTTGTAGACATTATTATCATTATTACACCGTCAGACACGCGAGTTTCTGATCGGAATACGTACAACAGACGGTGGATTACGTACATTTTACTGCGCCCCGCCAGGGAGTGACACGTGTGGAAGGGATCGCGGCGGCGGGAGGTGCGCCCGGATAAGCGTCGCAAAAACTCGTCGTTCAAAACACGTTGTCAAATTCAGCGGTATAAAACGCATCGGTAGCCGTGCCCATGGGCACACGAACGTACGTCGCGCGGTACTATATGTCGCGACGGGATTTAAATCGATGCGTGTGTAACGTTCGGTTAAAATTAACGAATGTCCGCCGGTAGTCATCTAGTGAAATCCCGACGGTCTATGACACACACCAAAATTCTAAGATTAATACATATCATCCCGTTGAGGAACTCCGGGGGCTCGTCGATCTTGTAAAACATACAGTTACCAAATGAACGACGCATTGATTATTACTTAAATATCAAATATTTTAAATTAAATGTACCTATACACAGCATTGAACGATGATGGTCCGAATGACAGCGAAGATGTCACACACGACGTACTTGATATTTTTTGGGATTTTAAGATGGTAATTTGTCCCCCCTCCCCACAATACGATAATATATTTGACATACGAGCCGATTCGTCTAAAAAAACAAAAAAGTGTCATGTGACTAGAGTAACCGTATCAGGAGCAATTCCTTAGGACGCGCGATCAATGCGGCTGTCGCGGTGTGGTCGAAATTTTGACCTCACGTGTCGTGCGCAACAATGACGAATTCCCTGTAATAGAAAATGCGTCCCAAAAAGGGCTACGAGTTTTTATTTTATCAAGTCCAACATATATATATTTTATTCGGTTCCATAATTTGTACGTGTATATTGGACCTATTTACATGTGATTTGAGTTTTTGTTGTGAATAGTGAATAATTTTTACTTACAATATGTTATGAAACCACAAGAAAAAAAAATCCTCTTCAAACTACTCCTTTTAGAAAAAACTGATGATGAATTAACAATCATCGAACATGTTTATAAAAAGAAAATATATGATATGTTTCTTGCTAGAAAAACTGAAGGATTTTATAGTGTTAAAAAGAACAAAAACATTTTTTTTTTAAAGATGAACGAAAACGTAGAGTATTTTTTTAAATTAAGTTATGAACAATGCAAATAAATGAGAAAAAATTAAAGTCAATCGTGATGACTATCAGCGCCGCTCGACCGTTTTAAGTACCTTCTGAGAGGTACTCGTCGTGCATCTTTACCATAGATGCATAAGACAACCATGTACGTCAGCGGCTGTCTAGGGAATCAATTACATTAATAAACCGATGAAACAGTACTGCTGCGGCCAACATCCTAAAAAATAAAACCCGATAACCTGAAACAACCCGACGGCAACGTGTCCCTATGCGTAACGGAAGTCGGTGCATCAAATCCCGTCGGCCGAACACCGGCGTGGCGGGTAGGACGTGTATGTATCGCGGGGTAGTGGGTTTTGAAGTACCCTCGAAGGATTTATCCCTTACCCGCACCCCAACAGTTGACGTTCTCCAATACAAGCGTACAGCGCCCGTAGGGATATTGCATGCAATGCGATTTCGTGACAGCAAGGCGATCGGGATCAACGACGACGACTTCAGCTTGCGTGCCCCGGTGCAATAGCGACATTGCGTACACATTTAGAACACATAGCATTGTGTACTTAATGCATTACGCGGCATTCGACAGCAACATATTTATTATTACATGATTATTGTATAACATATAGCGTACACAGGGATATGATGGTGATATAAGAGTTTAGTGATCTCAGATCGTGCGATTAATAATATATAATCCGAACGAAAACATTTCGCAGACTAAAAGAATAACACTCATCAACTTATATGGCCAGTTAATTTTTGTAAACTTGAGTCTGCCGGATAAACAACAAACCCATCCCTCACACGCAAACACTCAAAAGTTCACCAGTATACATGATATTATATAATATCATTAAGAGAAAGCGTTGTAAATGTGTTTCACGCGCGAATACGTAAAAAGTTGCTGTCACCGCAAGTCGCTTGGCGATCGATGTCCACGCAATAGCTGTACCAATTATACATATACCAATGACGAAACGTAAAGTTATACGATTTGAAAAATTGACAAGATAGCGAAGAAATAAATAAATTTAATGCCCTTTAGAAAATACGAAGATGGTGCGTCGTGGGTCTTTGTACAATATATGAACGGTAAACGAAAAAGTCCAGGAGTGCGTGCCGTCAGTCGTCACATATACGCACTGCTAGCATATTTAGTAGGATGAGAAAATGAACAATGATCGATCGATTGCAAACGGTCATAAACTAAATCGGAGCTGAGACGACGATGGTGTTTTTATTCGAAACAAAATTTAGCAACGCTGCCGACAACTTTCTCTTACCGAAAAACGCGACGGCAGATCGAATAATCTCTTGGGCAGTGACGAAATATTTTTGCTCGTTACCACGATCACATGGACGCGCCATACTACGCGTTTTCTAGTCTTTCGTTTTTCATAGTGTAATGCGACTGCGGATGTCCCCCTCGTGTATATACTACACGTATAAAACCCGTACGACTACTACTTACTGTTAAATTAAATAAATAAATTATATCGACGACGATACCGTCGAGTTTACAAAAGTAAATTTAATTTAATAAATAGAAACCCAACCGGGGTCGTAATGGAGTGCCGTGTACACACACACAAAACCGACTGGTCGCGTTCGTTACGTCCAATTTATTTTGTCGCATACGCCGGCGGTACTCGCTCGCCGCCACTACAATAAAACGGAACGGCGGCGCGAAAGAATAATAAAGAAGGAAACGCGTGTAAAACGCGTGTGGAGTAGTGCTCTCGATTACGACGTTGGGAAATATTCAACGATGACGAGTACACACACGCTATGTACACACACGACAGCGATTAGTCGGTCCAGTTCAAACATTGTTAGTCGTTGCACATATGTATCCCCACAAGTGTACGCGAAAACATGTTGCGCCCCTCGTGAACAATTACAACACTAAACAGAAATACTCCATGTGCGCGAGACCGTTGTGTACACACCAACGAGATCGAAATATTAATAGAGTAGAATAGCTGCTGCGCGCACACACAACGAAAATACCGCCTCGCGTCTTCGCGTTCGGAACCGCACACACGTAAACGCCCTCGCTATCGAAACACGATAGCGTATAATTGTGTGTGCAATGATTGGCACCGCCGACTTTGCAACGCACGAGCAATTGGGTTCCGACCACGGGTTTCCAACGGTAATGACCATTACGGTACGACATCGACGTGTGGTGGTCGTACGCGCACAACCGTTGTGTTTAAAACGTCTACCCACCCATGCGCGCGGTTTTACTTGACAAACGGTTAAAGAGCACACGGTTCATACGAAGCTAGTTAACGTAGTACTGTGCTACGCGTAGAAAAGTCTCTACGCAAAGAAGTCGACACGGGACTAGAACCCGACGTAGACGGATCGACGTCAGACAATGGATGTGGCGGCGGCGAAAGCAGTAAAAGTAAAATGTAAAATGCACTCGGAAGTATCGGAAGAAGAGTAGGTATGCGACGGGGCGGATGATTGCGGGTACGCTGCGAGTGAGAAGGGAAGAGGCGGACGAACGGGTTTTGTTCTGTTCTCCGTACCGCAGCGCGGACGGAAACGGTCATCATCGGCGGCGGCACCGACTAAATAGGTCTCTGACCTCGTCGTCGGTGGTATATACGTGCGCTCGGTGACGGATCCCGGCCGCCCGAAGACGTGTCGCATGTGCCGGACGCGCGAGACGTGCCAAACGAACTTGCGCGCGCGTAACATTTCCAGCAGTTCTCTTGGACGTTCCAAGAGGCGGCGACGAGATGAACGCGGGCGTGCACGCACACGCGATGATCCTTGCCGATTGATCTAACCGAAGTGCGGGTCGACGTCGCACGTCCTCGTTCCACTTCGCTCGGGCAGCAGCCGCTTTCCACGCGCGCGCGCGCGCGCGCCGCCGCCCGGACTGGACCGACGGACAGTACGCATAGCACGCGGCTGCATTGCGAAACCGCCTCGGTCCCGAGCGTCCATATGGTAACGACGTCGTCTCCTCGTCAGACCTTAGCCCGCACCGGATCCGTGGCCGTTGTCGCGCGATATGAGCATAGCGGGCGCGGAACATAGAATAACGGACAACGAGACGGGAGAAGACGACGAGGACCGCGCGTGTAACACTAGCGCCCTCAGCGGTTTCCCGGGCCGAGCGGCACGACGACTCACGTAAGCTCACGGGGCTCAAGTCCTCCGCCGGCCAAGGTCGCGCTTTTTATCGCGGCTCGTGCGTTTCGCCATCGGTCGCGCACGCGGCGGTGCCCCGCACACGCCGTCCCGCGGTAGTCGCCGACGACAATATTTAGGTCACGCGCGCGCACGTCGCGCGGTCGCCGTTTACGGGTACGCGTTTACGGCGAGCGCAA